GGGGGAGGGGGGAGGGGGGAGGGGGATGCATCTTATCTTGGCCCCAAACCATGAAGTAAATGGTGTGAGAATAAGGGGGTAAATATGTTCAATAAGCTATTTATTGCATATATGTCATTATTTATTTAAGATGCTGAATCAAAAGGCAATGGGATAGGCCGTTGAACGATGGATACCCTGTTTAGGGCGGAGATTGGAATCGAGAAAGGAGGTTTTCTTGATCAGAATGTGGGTGGGGCACTTCAATAGCAGGGCTTGAGAATTGATGTGTATTTAAATTATATGAGCTAGTAGTTGTTGTTGATATGTTTATATTGGTGACATTATACTTCCTGTAATCAAAAGAAGTATAGAGTTGTTGAAATCAAAGAAGCATCGAGCAGTACCCGATATACCTTTAGAAAGATCACAAGTGGTTAATAACAACCAAAGTGGTATTTGGGTCTCTCTTATCCATCCATTGGGGTTATAATTATTTATTTTCAATTTAATCATCTTTAATTCAATCTCGAATTTTATGTCCCATTTTTTGGGAGTTCTATTATACAATTCTTTTGGGTTTTTCTTCGCCAAAACCTTTTATTTTATTGAAATAATTGATTTTTTTTTTTTTTTATCAAAATAGTGATAATCGGTCTATATTAGCAAAATACTTGATATGTGTTTTTTGAAGGATGAATAAACTCCAATTTTTCTAATCTAACGGCCAGCTATCAAAGCATCCTGAAAGTTTATTTATTTATGACTAAATTCGATTTTAATTAGTTTCTTGTTTNAATTGAAATAATTGATTTTTTTTTTTTATCAAAATAGTGATAATAGGTCTATATTAGCAAAATACTTGATATGTTTTTTTGAAGGATGAATAAACTCCAATTATTCTAATCTAACGGCCAGCTATCAAAGCATCCTGAAAGTTTATTTATTTATGACTAAATTCGATTTTAATTAGTTTCTTGTTTTAATGTCTTGGACGCATACATAGGTTAGCTGTTAATGCAGGACGTCTGCAGCCTAAATGATTCCAATTGACTATAAAAAAAAACAACAGCAGCCGATTAATTAAATTAAGGGCTGAGATTAGTGCTAATTTTTTTTAATTAGAGAATAATACTAACCTTGGATTAGAAATAANAGGTTAGCTGTTAATGCAGGACGTCTGCAGCCTAAATGATTCCAATTGACTATAAAAAACAACAACAGCAGCCGATTAATTAAATTAAGGGCTGAGATTAGTGCTAATTTTTTTTAATTAGAGAATAATACTAACCTTGGATTAGAAATAATAATCATGACATGCTTATCCATAATCCACCAACTGGCGTCGTTTTCTAATGAATTGTTTACGATTAATTCTTATTTAATTTTTTATGCTTTGTTTTTTAATTTAGAATTAGACAATTTTGAGAATATTATGCATCTGTTTACTTGGTCTAAAGCATTTCATTCTTATTTATTCCTNACCGCCCAAGCCTCGTTTTCTAATGAATTGTTTACGATTAATTCTTATTTAATTTTTTATGCTTTGTTTTTTAATTTAGAATTAGACAATTTTGAGAATATTATGCATCTGTTTACTTGGTCTAAAGCATTTCATTCTTATTTATTCCTTATTCTCAATTAAACTCTAGGTAACCAATGCTATTTGTTACATTATAACCCTGCATAGGATTATTCACAAATTTGAAAGACTTGAGTAAAGTTCGAGAGATATTCATTCCATACTAATTTTTGAGGTCGGTTTCTAATGTACTGATTGCTATGTATAATCGAGTTTTAAAACCAGAGTTTCCAAAAAATTGGAGAAATGCTAGAAGCTCCATTCCGAGAGTAACTGCATTTCGAATTGTAGATAAATGACACTTTTGTTGTTTTCTTGGAAAGAATGTAAATTGTTTACTAATCTTCCCCACAAAATACTTATATATATATAACTAATTAACTAGAAAACATGGGCTACGAGGGTTCAAAATATCATGTATTGCCAACTGGTGATGGGTCATAATCTTATTGTGGGTCATATTTATGTCCCGACTTATATTCATGTTTATGCCATAAACTTGATTTGTTAATTACCATGAAAAAAGCTTGATAAGTGGGTCGTTATTAAAAATTAACCATAATATATTTAATAAATGAACTAATCCAAGTGCCATATGATGAGTCAATTATGTAAAACTTGCTGATTTAAAATCCACTACCTTTTTTTTCCAAATATTACCATAACTGGTAAAGGTAGATTACCCTCATGGTCATGGTCATGGTCATGGTCATGGTCATGCTAGAAAGTTTCTTCTTAGCTATAATATGACATTTTGGTGTTTTGCAAAACAGTCTAATCCTAGTTATGACAGCAAGGAAAACTGGCCAAATAGGTCTTCTGTTTAAAAACTATTGCCTTCTTCAGGCAGGGAAAAGTTAATAACAAATAGATATGATACGGCAATAAATTATTATTTACACTTTTCGTACCTCTCCTTATATTACGTGGCCTTGACCTTGATACCGTCGTATTTCAAAGTTACGAACGTTATTAATCACATATAATTATTCCNATATTACGTGGCCTTGACCTTGATACCGTCGTATTTCAAAGTTACGAACGTTATTAATCACATATAATTATTCCGATAAATCTAGCTTTACTTTTACGGAGAAGAGAATTGGGGTGGATAAAATGATTTGAAAATTGAAGATAAGTCTTAGACTTTACGATTTAGTCCACTCTCTTATGTTTGTTTGCACTTGATCTTAGGTCATTGCACTTTAAACCTAAAAAATTTGAATCATTCATTAGTTGTTTCAATTGATCTACCTAACTTCTAAGGATAAGAGAATATGAGTTGATAATTGATGAAAAAATTGAAGATAAATCTTAGACTTAATACGAGTCAATCCATTCTATTACCTTTACTTTTGTCAGCACTTTTTCATAGGTCATTGCACTTTGAACCTAAAAATTTTGAATTATCCATTACTTTAGTAGTACAAAAATCAAGTGAAAAATGCATTTTTGAGGTCTTTGTATAAATAAAAAATAAGGTCAAAGGATGTGTTTCTTAATTAATAGTAAGTAAAATTTTTAGATAAATTTATAAATGAGCATTAACATTTTATTTTTTATTTTACATTTTAATCAAAAATTGATATGAAATCAAAAGCATTATTTAATCAATATCATTATGTAACCTAATTAATATTAGCACATCAATTTCCACAATTTAATTTGATATTTTTTTTTATTTTTTTTTTGATTATAACGTTGACTAATTTTATATCAACTAAACAAGAAGCATCGATCATAATATAAACNTTTATTTTGAGTATAACGTTGACTAATTTTATATCAACTAAACAAGAAGCATCGATCATAATATAAACAGTATAAGAGTATGATATTGAAAAATAATTTATAATCATTCTCTAAAATAATAATAATAATATAAAAATGAAAATGAAAAAAATTATACCCATATTTTTTTATCAGCAAAAAAATACATACAATTTAAAAAAAAATTATAATTAATTAATAAATTCAAATAAAAGATAAGGAAGGAAGTTAATATGATTTATCACTCAGTAGTGTTACTTCGCTACGACGTTACCTAAAACCACTGCAACTTTATTTATGACCCAAAAACAGGAAAATGTAAACTTCACTCTCTCTTTGNCTTTACACTGTTTCACCATTTATTTAAGGAACAATGTTGCCAAGATCTGAGAAAAGGGCGAGGGTATAGGCATCGGGTAGTAAAGCTTGTTTTCAGACTCTATAGTATCAAGGGCTGTATAGGAGACACTTTTCTTCCTGAACTATGATAGCGGAGCAAGGAGTGAATCTCGTTGGGGTATGTTATACTTCTATCCNAGGAGCGCGTGTTCTGACGGAGTAGTGCTCCCCTTTGTTTCGGGCTCGTAGATTCCCACGCTCTTGAAGGGAGCGTGTGTATAGAGTGGGCATGGCGGCTGAAGAGTACTAAATTATTTAAACAGTAGTGTGGGGGAAGTATTGTGGACTTTATGAATGAATTGATTAGTCATTTTTACACATCACACAAGACTACAAAAATACTTTCTATAAANTCGAGCGCGTGTTCTGACGGAGTAGTGCTCCCCTTTGTTTCGGGCTCGTAGATTACCACGCTCTTGAAGGGAGCGTGTGTATAGAGTGGGCATGGCGGCTGAAGAGTACTAAATTATTTAAACAGTAGTGTGGGGGAAGTATTGTGGACTTTATGAATGAATTGATTAGTCATTTTTACACATCACACAAGACTACAAAAATACTTTCTATAAAAAATATTAAACAAATTCAATTGAAAATGATGGTGGTGGAGGTGGTGGTGGTGCTCTAGTGCGGTACGGTGGTGAATATTCAATTTATTTTGTGTTGTATGAATATTTGTTGTTGATAATGATGATGAGAAAGAGGCGGGAGTCAGAGGCAAAGAAACTATCGTTTTAGGAGTGGGTGAAGATGCATAGCATAGACTAGGCAGCAAACCCAAGAAGATAGGNGAAAAATATTAAACAAATTCAATTGAAAATGATGGTGGTGGAGGTGGTGGCGGTGGTGGTGGTGCTCTAGTGCGGTACGGTGGTGAATATTCAATTTATTTTGTGTTGTATGAATATTTGTTGTTGATAATGATGATGAGAAAGAGGCGGGAGTCAGAGGCAAAGAAACTATCGTTTTAGGAGTGGGTGAAGATGCATAGCATAGACTAGGCAGCAAACCCAAGAAGATAGGGAGGGTTTAAGATTAGAGAGAGAGAGAGAGAGAGAGAGAGAGAGGGGCGTTTTTGGTTTTTGGTGGGGTTTGAAGAAAGGAGACATGCCCGAGTCCATCCCAACATCTGTGGTCTTTACCAAATCCCAAAGGTCCTCCTCCTCTTATCTAAATCCTTTTACTTTGGCTTTTTTAAACCTTGATGATTGATTTACTCAACCTACATCTGGTTTTCCCATTTTCTAGGATAGACATATTTGTATGTTGGTATTATACTATTTTCAAATATTCTTTTCATGTCATATTTTTGTGGGTTTGTGCTTATGATTCCGGGAATGCTATTGGAGCTTATGATGGTGATTTGTTGTTCTTATTCTTGACTGGAGTTTNTTGTTGGTATTATACTATTTTCAAATATTCTTTTCATGTCATATTTTTGTGGGTTTGTGCTTATGATTCCCGGAATGCTATTGGAGCTTATGATGGTGATTTGTTGTTCTTATTCTTGACTGGAGTTTTGGGTAAGGGTTAATTGCATGTGCATTCGATTTTAGATTTTTAGCTGTTTTTGGTATTCATTTTCTTTCCTTTTCTGAAACTTTAAATTTGGGTTTGCATCATTCAAATGCTTCCCCATTCTGGGCATGAACACTGTGTGAATCAAATGTTCTTTTTGGTCAAGAACAGTTGCCTGCTGATTGTTTCCATCCTGGGCATGAGCTTAAGTGTTTTTTTCCACCTTTTTTTGTCTGGTTTCTTAATTGATTATTTTAATGGATAATTGCAGGTTTGCTCCATTTAATTCTTCAAAATTCGATGATGAGCCTTTGTTGCCTCTGGGGAATATGCATGTCGTTTTTGGGTTTTATTTTGTGTGCCGGGTGGGGGTGGATATGTACCAATTCAGTTGATGCTACTTTTTCATTGATCAGTTTGATGATTCATTTAATATGCTGTTGTTTGTGTTTGGTGTATTTCACTTTACCCAAAATATTGCGTTCATTTAACATGCTGTTGTTTATCTGTATTATATTAGTTTTTGTAAGATATGGCCTTTGATTGGTACTGGTCCACTGTTGTTTTTCCATTCCCAGAATTTGTTATTTTGTATGCTCATGCATTTTAATTTGGGAATATGGGAGCACATTACGTGTCTCTTGCTTGTTCATTGAATGGAATGTGGTAGAATTGATAATAACTTCTGTAGTCTAAACATGACCTTTGCTAAGTATATTTGACATTGAGAGTCAAGTTTGAGATACTATCCCTTTCTCCCAGTGGTGGTGTCTTGATTGCAATGTTGCAATCATTGCTGTGTACCATTATTGGGATTTTTGATTACTCATGAGTGGGTATGCTAAGTTCAACTTTCGTTCTTGTGCATGAGTTGAAGTTAATTCATGTCATAATTGCATTGCATCTTGAAATAGTCATTCGTTATTCAAAGAATCCAGGACCTGTTTAAAAAAGAATCTGATTTAAGTAGTGCCCATTCAATGGCCCCGTGTATTGTCAGTTGCCCATCTTGGTGGACTTCTACTGAATCACAAATTGAACAATCATCCCTTTTCAAGGATTTAAGCTCGAAGATGGCTCCCCAACATTGTCAAAATGCCAAGCAATTGAGTTTTCAGCTTCAAGACCAAGGCTCGTCCTCAACTCAGTCAAGTGGTCAATCTTATTCTGAAGTAGCCAGTCTAGGAGAAAGCAACCCATATGGACAGAGCATAACGTCAATGGGATCAGGTGATTAAATATATTCTGTGCATATTTATTTTATTTGAAGAATTTGTCATATATATCTGGTTTCAAGTTGATTGAAGTTTTTGATGGATGCGTCTTTGTTGGGAATTTAGGAAATTGTTGTGATTAGAATCTAAAACTTAAACCCTGACCTCCTTTGGTAGTTTGGATCAGAACCTTCTACAATCTCAAATGGCATCCAGGATTTTGCAGCATAGGATGTTGGATTTAAGTTGTGCAATAGTTTTAGGATTTTTAGGCTTCAAATGTCTAGAAACAACAGTATGCAAAGTGATTGTCCTCAAACAATGTAAATTAAACCACAAACTCGGTTAAAGGTTAAACCATTAGTGAGCAGTATAACATATAAGTATTTGTTCTCTTAACACACCCTCTCGCGTGTAGGCTAAACTCGCCTCCATGAGTGGGCCAAAAACGTAAAATTATTGTAATTATTAAAGTGGGAGAGAGATTTGAGGGACATTTTGAAGTACATAGACACTTATGTTGCACTCCTTTTAACAATTTAAGATTTTGGAATAAGTGATTAAAGATGTCCAGGGATATAACTTATTTTAAACTTACAATACTTATGTCCTTAACAATTGAAGTATATAAACACTTGTGTTACACTACTTTTATCAGTTTAATATTTTGGAGTAGTTGGTGATTAAAGATGTCCAGGATATAACTTGAGTCTAAATTACAATACTTATATTACACCCTCTAACTTATGTCCTTAGCAATTTCATAGCTTTGAGAGTTGCACCTTCATTAGTGTCCAGTGTTGTACTTGAGACCAATACAAGTTTATAATCCATTTTCAAGAAGAATGAAGAGCATCACTTTTTTTTTAACCCCGGTATTTATACATGAAGTTATTTATGCCCATAAGATTTGGCTCATTTTCTGCTTTACCCGTATTATTTTCTCCACCAACCAAAGCCCCCATTTTATATTTGGGTTTATTTCTCCTGGTTTCCTTTATTTTTAGCAAAAGGGCCCAGATTTCACTGTTTGACCCATAGGTCTTTTGTAAATATTCCTGTTGTGTTTGACTTTTTTTTTGTTGGGGGGGGGGGAAGGAGAGGGGAATTGAACCTTTGACCTCAAAAAACAAAACTTTCATAAAGTCAAAACTTTCATAAAGTAAGAAGTATCATTGGACCAAAGGCCCCATTGGTTGTTGTGTTTGACTGACTGGAGAATAAAATGGGTTATTTCACAGCTTGCAGTTCTCCTTTGGCCAAACCCTTTTATTTATTTGTTTCATTAATGACCAAGTAGGACAAAGGTATTCTTTGGCTATCTTGTTAATTTAATTCAAACTAAATATTCCGGTACAGCACTATTTAAGCAAATTAATCATTTAGCAGCCTTTCCGATGTTTGGCATATCCAAGCATACCATGTACCGGTAATAATAGTATGCCTTTCATTTTGCTTGTGCTTGTGGCAACGTAGTATGAATAAACTTACCCGGATTTCATCTGACATAAGTTTTTGGTATACTGTTCTTAAATCAATCGCTTAGTTATATTTTTTCCAACTTGCCTCTTCCCCTCTTCCCTCCATTTTCCTATAATGGTATTTGGTTTATGCATTTGCTGCTTGTCCAGGCTATAAAGGAACTCATGGAAAGCCTGAAGACAGTCATATCAAACCAGATTTATCAATGGTTACTCCTAATTACATTTCCCCTCCTCCACAAGTTGATTATAGACAGTCATTTGTAAGTTGCTTATTAAGCATATTCTTGCTGCTCGCATGAAATCATTTTCAGTAAGTACTGATGTTCTCAGTTGTTTTGGTTCAGGCTTACATTCCACTTTCTTACCCTGATCCATACTATCATAGGTTAGCTGCTGCTTATGGGCCCCAGTCTATGGTAAGTACATGTGTCATATAATCATGATTCTGTCTTGTCTTCTGACGTAAAGTTTATGCCAATTTAAGTTCAAGTCCAACAAAAAGGAGAGGAAATGAATATTTGAATTTTCTAATTGGTTAATACGTTGTAATTGGATAAATTATTAGGAATATGATGGACAAATGACCAAGGAATGAAAGAAGAATGCACCAACATACAGGTGCTGCACCAAACACTAGTAGATGTAGTTGTTTCTTGTTGTAAGTGAATGCAACGAAAAGACCCGAAAATAATGAATAATGAAACAATTCATATTTTGACATTTCTTGCTCTTGTCAAAATTTCTGTTTTGTTATTCCCATCATCCAGTAACCATAGGATGATTCGGAAGAACAGTGACCGGATTCAAACCTATGGCCGGACCGCCTTTGACCTGGGTTGGGAAGTTCTAAAATTTTGAGAATTTGGTTTTTTGTTTGTTTGAATTTTTATGTGAATTTGATGCTTTTGGTCCTAAATGTTGTCATTTTACCCAATTTTGGGAAAAGCAGCTCTTTATTTTAATTGTGTGCGATAAAGAAAAAATTAGCACTGTAGCGACGAAGAGTTGTTTGACTTGAGTACCTAAGTGTTACTTTGTTTTTTTTTTTTTGGGGGGGGGGTAAATACTTTGTTGGCAGGCTTTTAGTTTTATGGGGGTTCCTTACTAGAAATTAATTTATGAGGAGTGGCCATTGTCAAGGAAGCTGGTGTAGCGAATGTTACTTAGTGCAATGTAGATGCCAGAGCTGTCTATGAATCATATTTTTGGCTGTGCCACCCATGAAACAATAGGGAGCATAATAGGGAGATGCCTATTTTGACCCAAAAATCCTTTAACTTGGTGTTTTTTAAATAATTATTTTGAACATCATATTTCTTTCCACATGTGACAATGATTAGGATAGTGAATTATCAGCTCTGGTGAGAACCAAAGCAAGAGAGAGATGGGCCCAGGTTTTTAGTTTGACCTTTTTTATAGGAAGATAAATTTTTTTCAATTTTTACGTGTGAAAATAAAAATCTAGTAAATGAATAAAATATTACCTATTTATACATAAAAACTATATTATTTTATATTGTCGTTATGCATGGGATGATGGGATGGGCCAATTTGGTGCTGGTCGGGCAACCCAGCTAATGGTTAGCCCTAGCTAGTGCACATCTTGGGAGAGCTCGTGGACATTGTAGAGAATGCACCGATTATAACATGTATTTTATAGGACATGTGATACCTCTTTTCTCCAAGTGGTAGCTAAGATGAGGCGCATGGTGCTACAATAAGGAAACGTGGGGTCACAGCTTGGCTAACTGAGTGTACTCACCTACCACAAACCCAAAGGATATTACTAATGACCGCTATGCAGTTTATGGCTACACCACTTCTGTTAAGAGGTCATTGGAGTGTCCATGTCATATGGTGACAGTGCAAAAAAGGAGCTTCTTGGGCCCTTCCCTCGACTCAGGCTGCCATCAATGCTTAAGGTGAACATATGAGGTGCAATACATAGTGTATGTTGGTCTACACAAGGAGCTGCATGTCTCACCCAAGGATCAAAATGTCGTGTCGACACGTCCGAAACGTTTCGGAATTTCAACAATCCGAAACGAAACAGTAGTTGAATCACAAAATTCCAGTGTTTCGGTCGAAACGGTACTGTTTCGGACCGTTTCGGTCGAAACGGCATTGTTTCGAACCGTTTCGATCGAAACAGTACCGTTTCGATCGAAACAGTACCGTTTTGACAAAACAGTGATATATTCGGTTCATTATGAATAATTATATTTAATACCCCATTATAATTACATTTAATACCCACTGTAATTACATTTAATACTCACTATAATTATATTTAATATCCCACTATAATTACATTTAATTCCCACTGCTCTTCTGTCTTTTATAATTTTTTTGTTATAAGAATAAATAATTACACTTAATACCCTACTATAATTATATTTAATACCCATTATAATTATATTTAATACATACTGTAATTATATTTAATACCTCACTGCTGTGCAAGTTTTTT